GTTGGGCAATATCAGCATGACCTTTGACATCGTCTTCGTCTTACAACACTTTGTGCTCTACAGGGGTGCAGAACCCTATGCTAAGGTCGACGACGAGGAAGAGGAGGAGGGTGAGGCCGACGGAGAGAGGCAGCAATTATTGAGGTGACTGGCTGGTTTGACGCATTTGATTCCGAGGTTGTTAGAGTATTTGTACAAGACCCGCAATGGGCCTTTCAGTGCAAACTTACGCTGCACTGAGATGGAGTCAGGCGGACTGCGCTTTTTCTTAGCAAGTGGTGGTCGGCATGGACTACGGTCATTTGGTATTGTAACAACGGCAGCATGTGCGGAATTCACGCTGACAAGAGCTTGCATCAACGGTGTGAAAGGGAAGGGAGGGTTCGATGACGGTTCAATATGGGGTTGGCCTGACGGTCATCGAAGGGTTCGGAGACCAGCTGCAAATCTGACTTCAGCAAGGCGATTCTGGCCACCGCAGCAACCGGTAGATTTGGCTCCACAGATCGAGAAGAGTGCGGCAGAACGCGATTGTACGAATAGGGTTACAGACCGGCGAACCATGTTGGCAGCAACTGGTGCCCAGTGACCCGCGACCGTTTGCGGGATCTCCGACGTGGTTCGGACGGGCTGCAAATATGGAACACGGCAGATGTGATCTTCTTATTGCATGCGGCAGGATTGATGCGCCATTCAACTTGTTTACCGCAAGACAGCCGGTATTGCGACAGCGACCATGCATGCCGTAGCGTAAGATCGTCGAGACCAACCAGCTTTGCGGGGTCCATGCGGCACTATTATAAAGAAGGAAAATCGAAGGAGCCCGCATCCTTGTCGTTCCAAACAGGGAATGTGCATGCGCATGCATTCGAGCCGATCGCCTCGTGTCGATGCCTGCCATTTTGCTTTCTGTTGCATCACCCTCTGGCACGATGCGCAGTGCGGAGCCTTCAGGCGATGATGGCTCGCATCTCGATTGAGCTGTTTGGCCTACGGTTCCTGGACCAGATCGCTGCAGTACCTGACGATCGCTGCTTGGCAAGCGACATGTTTGTACCGTACAGTATGCTGCACGGCTTTATGTCTTTGATTTCGCTGCCAGGTCGACACGAACAAGACCAGGACGTGACACATAGACGCACACCCCCAGACCCTGGCTGGCCGCGATGTGCATTGGACGGGCGCCCCCGGATCTCACTCCCGTCGCGCCGATCGGACGCCATGGCGGCCGTGCAGATGAAGGCGCGGGAGGGCTGATGGATGGATGGATGGATGAATGGGTGGACTGAGATGGTTGGCCTGAGGACGACCGTCTGTCACCCATGACTCTATCTCGTCTCCACCCATCAACTCTATCCTCTCTTCTGTTCCCTCTCCCGAGATTGCTCCGCGAGCCAGCATACTCGGTTCAAATGCCTCAGCCAGTGCCTGCCACCCTACCTAGCATTCTTCATCCCTGCCATGTGTGGGCGCCTCATCGTCCCTTCTGTGTAGGTACGTCAGAAAAATCGTTGAGGATTCCCGAGAGAAGGTGTAGCCCACACGCTCTGCCACGACTTCGTCCGCTTAGACGCAGCTCCTATAAAGTGGCCGTGTCCTGGCTGCGTTGGCGTTTACGCGCCTAGTATCCGATGACTTCCACTCCTGCGATTGCCGGTCTGTCTTCCTTCTCCTGTCTTGAATGCCCTTGGCCTGTTCCTGTCGATTGTCTTCCAAATTTCTCGTCGGCGTTGGAACTTCGTTGAAACGTCCGCGTGCCGAACACCTTGCTATCCACGATCCAACCAGGCCCCGCAACGGCAATTGACGTCCATCTCGATCGACCACCGTACTGCACTACGATCGCCGACTCTAGATCTCGCTGGCTACTGTTAACCAAACGGTTTTAGAGAGAGCTCGTCCTTAGACTGCGGCCGCATCACGGCGACCATTGCGGCCACGGCGCAACCGCCATGCCCAGCCTCGACATCAAAAGGCGGGCCGACTCCGTCACCGAGTCTTCTCTGGCTTACATCAATCGCTATCGTACTAAGCCGCTCCCTCAATTCCCCGGCCCACCCTCGAGAAAAGGCAGCTATTCTCTGGTGGGTATTCCTCGACATGGCTGCGATTGTACCATTCACCTGCTGATTGTCACAGTACCCGAGCTGCATTCCCGCTCCGGCGACAGCGCCGCCTTCCGTCGCACTTCCAAACCTTCCAACAACACCACGCTCTCTGCCGGATTCGCGGCCTCGCAAAGAAGCTCGATCGGGTATTAGGAAGCCCATCAATCACATAGCATCTGCGGCCAAAATGTCCGACAGACACCCTTCCGTCGATGCTTTGGGCGAACCCCTAGTGGATGACTTCAATTCGAAACTAAAGTTCGACCCGGCCATTGGCGCTGATATGCTGCCTGGCATAGAAAAGGATCTGCCAGTGAATCCTTCTTTTGGCCCAGCGGGTCTGGTCGAGGAGGCGATGCCACGCACCTTGAATTCAGTCAAGCATCAGTGAGTACCAACTACCTGCATAACGATTTCACCGACTCATTCTCCAAGCCCGTCATCAGACCTTCAGCCATACCGCAGAGCACCATCGGACATAGAGACAGCGACCGCTCCATCTTCTCGCTCGTCGCCAGAATTGCGCTATGGCAGCTCTGATGAGTCCATCGCGGACGACTCGACGGCTGCAACAAGTTCCTGGTTGGCTCCGCTCCAGACTCACGGTCTTTTAGACCATCCTGATCAGCTCGAGACCGTCGGCGGCGACGATCCCAGGAGCTTCGATCTTCTCGCAGCGCCGCCGGACGATTCAAAAGGCTCGTATCAGATAGAGGACCGAGCTGACCGTCTCTTCTCCATGGACCATCTCAGGCAGATTTTTGCCGATCCGAGGCTGCTGCTGCATTTTACCGACTTTCTCCATTCACACAGACCTAGGAGCCTACGCATTCTGACTTACTATCTCGATACGCTCAAGGCCATCCGAGCCATTGAGTACGCAAACGCCATCACAAACTCGTTGGATCCACTCCACAGTCACGAATTCACAAAAGTTGTCCCGCCGTCAACTGTCAACGAAGCACTGAAGGAACGAGCACAGAAGGCATTTGAATCATTGACTCGCGATGAGTTGCCGGCCTACATTGCCTACACTTGGATCCAAGTCGTCAGCGAGAGCATGCAAAAGCGGGTCACCGGCACACTGGCTCCTCACCTACGCGAAGCATCCGAAGGGCTGGCAGAAGTGTTCTGTTTGTCAGACCCATCTCGTCCGGATAATCCAATCGTGTTTGCGTCAGAAGGTGTGTATCTCTCTTGGCAGAATCTGTCGATGTATCGATGCTGACAAGTACAGAATTCCAACGTACCACTCAATACTCCATGGGTTACTGCGTTGGCCGGAACTGTCGCTTCCTCCAAGGACCTCGTACCAATGCAGACTCAGTTCGACGCATAGCTGAGGCGTGCAAGGTAGGAAAGGAGCACAGCGAGGTATTTCTTAATTATCGTCGCGATGGCCAACCATTCATGAACTTGCTCATGATCGCCCCACTACACGACTCTCAAGGAACCATTAGGTACTTCATCGGTGCTCAGGTGGACGTTTCTGGACTCGTCAAGGATGCGACCGATTTGGATGGATTGCGTCGGCTAATCGTTCGAGAATCCGATCCTGCAATCGCGGAAGAACAAGACGCGGCCTCTCGTAAGGAAGAATTTCAGTCGCTTTCGGAAATGTTCAACAGCTATGAGTTGAACACGACCCGGAGGTATGGAGGTCGTATGCATCAGCCACAAGTAGAGGAGAATGACATCGACGCTGCCTCCATCAGCTCACACCAACCACGACTCGTCCTCACAGATCCCAATGCCGAATATGCCGATCGCAATAATGCATCCATGCCCAGAACCGCTGCAGAAGTCGTCAAAGCATCGCTCAGAGATTCTGGACGTTTGCAGGGTGTCTACCAACACTACTTGCTCGTACGCCCTGCTCCATCTTTACGAATCCTATTCACATCCCCGTCACTTCGCATTCCAGGAATTTTGCAAACACCATTTTTGAGCCGCGTTGGCGGCTCGGCGCGGGTACGAAATGAGTTGCTCACGGCGTTCGGCGAAGGACGCAGCGTCACTGCCAAAATTAGGTGGTTGACTCGCCCGGACGTCGACGGCGTCGAGGTTGATGGAGCTGAGGGTCGATCGCGCTGGATCCACTGCACGCCCCTGCTGAACCACAAAGGTGCAGTGGGTGTATGGATGGTCGTCCTCGTCGATGCCGAGTCGCATGAAGGCGAAGGTAGGAAGCGCTTCCGCGCACCTCCTACTGTGCCAGCGAACGAAACCATTTTCTCTGGTCAACGTGTCGGCAGCAAGTCCAGCCGACTGAGCAACGCCTCGTCGTCGGTGCTGGGTCCTGGCGATAGGCCCACGATTGGAAGAAAAGCGAGCAACGCCTCTCGTCTGACCATTGGAGGCAGCCCTGTGGTCATCACTCATGGAAGTATCTCGACCTACACGAGTTAAAATAGCAGAATGGCGTCGCCCCTCGCCAGCCCGCTTGGTGATACATTTCGGAAGATAGTGCATTTCTCCGATGACAGAGCGCAAGGGAATAAGATCTAGTTCTCACGCATAGATAGAATGTGACTCTTGATAGCATTGGATTGGGGGAATCAGTGTACGCACAGGCTGTCCTGGAAAACACGCGACCGTCCTGGAAAATATGCGCACCCGGTGGACAGATTGAGTATTGAATTGGGATTGTTTGTCGTATATCATGTATAAGTAGAGTAACAAATACATAGTTAAACGAGTACTTTTGTTTTAAACTCCTCCAATGCTTCTTCATTTCCATGAGTGTCACCAGCAACGTCAGACATACAGAGATACAGCCTATAAAACGTTAGTACGCTGCATTGCTTGGGCTAAATATTCAAAACGGGGTATATATATTAATCTGCCGAGCCGTTTGATAACTATGCCAAATCCGGTACTAGATTTTCCTCCGGCCTTGTGGCCCAATGGTCAAGGCGCCTGACTACGACTTTGTCTCACGAGACATGATAGCCTATCAGGAGATTGCAGGTTCGAATCCTGCCAAGGTCATTTTATTTTGGCTCGTTCTTTTTGTTCTAAGGGTTGGCAAGGTTGGTTATATAACGTTGCGAATATCCTGGGCGATGGTTGTGAGGCTGAGGGTGTGCGCGCTGAAGTCTTTTTTTTTTTCCCTCGCCTTGGCTTTGGTGGGTTGCGGCTTGAGGATTGGGAGTGACCAGCTCTGTGATAGTGATATCGACACAGACTGCGACAAAAATGATATGGAAATAGCTGGGATGCAGTGCGTGCCCATGTCTGATGATAAGCTAAGGATGTACGTAACTCGTCCTCTTTCGTATCTATACTCTCTATCTATACCATGATCTTGGCGTGCTGTCTATAACGGAAGTTCTAAATTCGTCTAAAGCGTGGAAGACCATCAATTCTCTTTCTGAGCGCTGAAAGCCGCTTCTGCCTCTCGCAGCCTTTCTCTCGCCACCTGCCACTCCTCTGAATCTTCACCCAAGCTACGCGCTTCCACCTCGAGCGCCTGCGCGGCCCAATCTCGGGCTTGACCAGCCCACCCAAGAGCCAATGCACAGTCCACGGCCAGCCCGAGCACTTCGGCACTGGTGTCTGTTTCGTCGAGGCCTTCCTCGGCCATGAGCCCGAGAACCGCTTCAAGCGCATCGAGGGCGCGGGCGTAGTCCCATTTCGGAATTTGACTGCGCTGAGACCGGGCGGCCGCGTCGCGCCTCACACGCGAGAAAGCGTCTTCGAGTTTGGTGCGGCGGAGCTCGGACGATGCGCTGTGTGAGCGACACTGGGTGCAGCCGCACTTGAAGCCCCAGTGACGGAGCAGACGGCGGCGTTCGGCTGTGGGATGGACGATGTCTATGTAGCTTGTGCATAGCTCTGCGCCTGCGGGGATGTCTTTCAGCGCGTGAATCGTAAGACGATTGATGCGGTGGTTGTGTCGATGAAAGACGTTGGGCGAGCAGCTGTGGTTCAATCGCGCTGCGCGTGGGAACATGCCCATCTGATCTCTTGCGCCAGAAGATGAGCGCACAGTAAAGCGGTTCGTTTCATAGATTTGCCATGCGTGGAGGACCCGATCGCAGTGTGTGTCAAAATCTGCCGACGGCCCAGAGTATGAGGAGCGGATCGCGCTAATCCAGTCGACTTCCTCATGCCGCCGCTTGTAGGCTGCCAATTCCCAGAATGCTCTGGCACGATCCGTAGGGAGAGCATCTACTATTCGGTACAGATCGGGCACCTCGGCCATGTCAGACAAAGTGAGCAGTGGTGCTTCTGAGATGAGCCGCGTGCCCCTTGGAATCGAGGTGGTGGCAAACATGCCGAGTCCGGCCGATGGTGTCGGTCGAATCTCCATGAGATCGGATCGGTAAATCTCTGCATTGGGCAGGATTAGCTTTCAATTCATAGGGAATCACAAATGGGTACTACCTTGACCGTCCTCTGGCTTGCAATCGACATCCATAGGCGAGTCCATCTGAATTGGATCGCATCCCAAATGTCGTTCCATTTCCGGCATGGCCACTTCAGGTGGCTTACAGCTAACAAATGCAGGTACAGGAGCGCGGACTGCAATCCCGGCGTCTCGCAATGCCTGGTCACCGGTCGACGGCCATCGAACCCATCGAGTTGCTTGCAGAAGAAATAACTCCTCAACGCGCAAAGCCCAAAGCGGTGGAAATAGATCGTCAGGGGTGGCACAGCCCAGTTGACGAGATTAAGAGTGGCCGCATGCAGAGGATTACCTCTTGGTACAAAGGGGCTGGTTGCAGTCGATATATCGCACGTCACCACATGTCACTGAAATATCCAGAGAAAATATCGGATGGGAGTCTGGCTCGCACTAGCCACCACCGCCACAGGCACAGGCCATCGTCGATGACAGATGATGGAACCTGCTGCCTTTTCCTCGAGTTTCTCCTTGCGGGGCGGGGGGGTTTCCAGCGCGGGAGATCGGCGCGAAAACTCGATCTGCCGGATCCCGTCCGTCACGAGCGAACAAGTTCAGCCGCGCACCTGCGACAGGGGACGGCCATGTGACAGAGTGCGCGAGAAGTAATGCGTGGGACAGGCCTGAGACACGTGTGGCTCGTCCGGAAGGAAAGGGAAAAGAACGCGACGGATGGCATCCTCTTTGCGAGCGTTGCGCGCTTCTTGGCTGTCCCGCGCGCGCGACATGTCGCCGCGATCAGTGCCTGGCGCTGACATCGGCGCTACGACTGAGCTACCACTAATAGGAGGGAAACAAGGTGCTGCTTGTCCGACCACAATGCAAGAAATCCCGTTGCGGACACCCAAATGACTAAGGAATAAGGTGTGTGCATGCAGCGTGCTCTATTGAACTTTGGGTTTTCCCACCGACTTTGTGCGCTGTTGGATCTGAGATTAGGCGTCGATCTGGTTTCAGCGCACCACATGCCTTGGACCCCGCGCCTTTGATCGGCGATGTCACATCCTGCGCGGAAACTGTCTTTTGTGCCTACGCGTTCAGCTGCACCCGGCGGCACAGTCATCCGAAAACCACATGGGCGTAGTGGCGTCTACAGTCGTCGCGATAGAGCCATGCAATTCGGCGCGCACAACTTTTGCGGGTCAGAACGTGCAGGTCACAGGCACAGGGAAATACCACATCGGTCAGGCAGGATAAATAATAATCGGCATCAATTGTCATCGTCTAGCGTGCTAACAGTACATAAATCTTGTCCATTCGTGTGAATTGGAGAGGATCAACCGGCTCCCAGGGGTATCGTTGGCGTGAAAATGGCCGATGGCCAACAGGTATTGAGTAACAGTAGAATGCATGGGTATCTTGCGTATCGTGCGAGTCGTAAACCAGAGAGCAACTATTCATGATCGTCGGCGGAGACCGACAATTTCAGCACAGCGAGTGCAGTAGAAGAGATTAAGGCCATATTCGATCATGTTGGATTTCAGCGTGGCGAGGTCCACGGCCGGAGTTCGGTGGCATCTCGAGCAGCGAGCGTGGTTCATCGACGACTCGGGTGAAGGGGTGGAGCAGTCTGAGTAGCTCGGATTAGGGCTACCGGCAACGTGGCTCGGTGTCATAGAGGGCGAGTTCCTGGAAATGGCCAAGTCGTCACGGAGAGTAGAATCGTCCTGGAGCGGCCGTGGGCCGGGGCGAAGTCGCCTCTCCGGCTGATGCGAGGCCTGGATCTGAAGTTGGAACAGGTTGGAGGCATCGACCATCCTGGATGTGTTGTACCGATGCGGTGGTTGTGCAGCAGCAAGGTTGACGGCCAGTAGAGGATTTGATGGATCAGCCATAGGCGCGTCGCAATGATGAGGCTCTGGTGAAGCAAGCGGCGTATCTGAGGACAGACTTGCAGGCGTCTGGCTGGGGGCGAGAGAGAAATAGCAGGGCTGGCGAGAAAAAGGTAGCGTGTCCCTCGAAGAAAACATGTCGTGCGAGAGGGCAGAGGTATACTAAAACGATGTGCTGGTGAGAAGGGGGCCAGGAGTGAAGATATATTCCTGGCGGCGAAAAAAGGCGAGTGAGAGTTCGTGCATCGAAGATGGCATCGCGGCGGATCGAGCATCGAACACGCCCAAGTCAGGCATCGAGATCCAGACCCCGCACGGACCGCGCAGATGGCACAGTCAAGCCACACGCCCTCGCAGCCAATCACAATCCGCGCCCCTCGCCGTTCTGCGTCGGTTTCGACCACGCCTTTGCTTGGTGGCAGTGTCCACCTGGCCGAAACGGCAGGCGGCCAGATCCTCAGTCGACCGTGCAAAACCGCCTCGCCTGCAAGTTTTCCCACGCCACACGGCGCAGCATCCTTGGCTGTTTGTCCAATTTGCCCCGTCGCTCCACTTGCTTGACTGCCACATGGCGTTTGCAGACCTCTCTGGCCCCTCAGTCGCTCGCCTCCGAACCACCCCCGAAATTGTCCATTATGGCCAGACCATTACACGACAGGTCCGCGATGCTTGGAACCCGGTTGCGATAGCCACCATGCTCATCCTCTGCTTCGCGCCGGCCGAGTCATCTTTCACCAAGCGCTTCTCGCGTCGGTACATAGCCGCGTTCACAGGCTGTGAAGACAGGCTCTGAAGACATCTAGAACGAGCCTCTTAGCAAGCCCCGGTCATCTCACGCTCGCATGTCCAACACGACAAGCCACATATTGCCTCATTCTTTACTGAGGCGTTTCCAGCATCGCCGTCGCCATCGCCTTGTTTCGGTTTGCGTGTCTGCTGCGAGATATTGGCTACGCACCGCACGCACCACACGCATCATGTTCGACTTCGTCTCCTACAAGTGCATTTCCTCGAGGTATGTGGCCTTAGGCATAGAACTCGACAGCGGACGGAGGTTCTCCGGCCAGTATGCCGGTCTCTCGACCGGTCGCGTCGGAAGCCGTGTGCTCCATTGTCGTCGGACTCGGAGAGTGTCCAGGCTTCCACGGTGACTTAACGTCCGCCACTGGTGCTCGCCTATGCCACAACACGATAACGCTTCGTGCCCTTCACGGTACGCGTGAGTACAGTGTCGCTGCCAGTCCCCTACAGCGTCTCAAGTCTGGCTGTGACGATGACATGTGAGCCTGATCGGAGCACAGTTACCCTCGATCTCTCGTCCGTGCTAGTGGATGGCACGAAATCATTACGGGGGCGAGGGCGAGAAGCCTGGCGTTCCGTGGCTGTCTCGAGCAACGGTCTGGCCACTTCGCCCACTTAGAGACCAGTCGGCTGGGCTTCTTCGTTTTCCGCGGCCAGAGTCAAGGGTCTGGACAATTGCCGCTGGCAAACGTGCGAATCCCCGAAGGCCGTTTTGGATTCATCAGCCGAGCATTCGTCGAGACAGGGTGCTGGAGCCGAAGAACGCAACGTCTGCAGACTTGGGGAGACCTGTCACTAGCTCGTGTCGCGGTGTACATGTAGCTCAGCGTCTTGCAAGTGAAATGAAGGCGTGGCTGACTTTGGGTGAACCACATGGTAAGCATAGAGAGTTTTCAGCCCTGCCAATCTTAGCCGCGTCCCTGGCTGAGTCTAGACCGGGTCCCGTTGTC